TAAAGACTTGTGTCGTTAAAATTTCGTCGGAACGAAGTTACGGAAAGTTAATTAACAAACGGAGAAGTAACAATATTATAACATGGTCAGTGACAGCTAAAGGTAACATAAATGATACATAGGCCTGTCAACTTTCCCGATTTCCGTGGAAGTTCCCGATATGGAGTCCTATTTCCCGATCTCCCGACACACGACCAGAATCTCCCGATATCAACCTTTTTAATAATTTAAGAAAACGAGTAGATTCACAAAATTCAACTTCACAGAGTGATAACCAGGATAAAGTAAATATTTACATTGTTATACTTTGTTGTGTTATATTGTCTGTTTGTTCAACTTCACAGAAAGCCAACCAGGATAAAGTAAATATTTACATTGTTATACTTTGTTGTGTTATATTGTCTGTTTGTTCTACCACATTCCAATGTATTGAGTGAAAGGACATTTTCAATGGTGAGAAAGATCGTTACAGAGAACAGGACTGATTTAGGGCATGACACAGTATGTGCCCTTTTAAAACGTAACTTTAAATCGGATTCTTTAGCCAGTAAATACAAACCCAGCAAGCAGGTATTGAAAGATGCCAAAAGTGCAACATACGAATATAACAAAGAGCACTAATCAGGATATGTGTATTTTTTATTTTTCAATCCTTAAAATAAAAGTGTATAACAATATTAGCAGATCACTGTGATCCTCTTAGTATATAAGCCCACTGTAAATGAAAAAAAAAGAAAAAAGAAAACATTATTTCAATCTTATAATAAATGTCTGAAGTTCCCCAAAATGAATAAAACATGGCCAGTGACAACTATGTCCATTCTAAATAATACATCAAAACATGGTCTGTGACAGCTATCACAAATTTAAATTATAGAGCCAAACGTGGACAGTGAAAGCTACGACAGTTGTAAATAATACAACAAAGCATGTTTAGTGACATCTATGGCTAGATATATAATACAACAAAGCATGTTTAGTGACATCTATGGCTAGATACATAATACAACAAAGCATGTTTAGTGACATCTATGGCTAGATATATAATACAACAAAGCACGTTTAGTGACATCTGTGGCTAGATATATAATACAACAAAGCACGTTTAGTGACATCTATGGCTAGATATATAATACAACAAAGCATGTTTAGTGACATCTATGGCTAGATATATAATACAACAAAGCACGTTTAGTGACATCTACTAGATACATAATACAACAATACATGTTTAGTGACATCTATGGCTAGATATATAATACAACAAAGCATGTTTAGTGACATCTATGGCTAGATATATAATACAACAAAGCACGTTTAGTGACATCTGTGGCTAGATATATAATACAACAAAGCATGTTTAGTGACATCTATGGCTAGATATATAATACAACAAAG